TTCAACATTCATAAATCAGTAAATGTAATACACTATATTAACAGAGTCAAGGACAAAAACCACATGATCATCTCAATAGATGTGGAAAAAATATTCGACAAAATCCAACACCCATTCATGTTAAAAATGCTACAGAAAATTGGAATAGAAGGTCTTTATCTCAACCTGATTAAGGCTATCTTTGAAAAAACCAATAGCCAACATCATACTAAGTGGTCAAAAACTGAAAACTTTCATGCTAAAATCAGGAAGAAGACAAGGATGCCCACTATCACCACTCCTATTCAATATTGTTCTGGAAACATTAGCCATAGCAATTAGAAAGTAATAAAAGGAATAAAGATAGGAAAGGAAGAAGTGAAACTGTCATTATTTGCTGATGAAATGATACTTTACATAGAAGATCCAAAAAACTCAGTTCAAAGTCTGCTAGACCTAATTGACAGATTCAGTAGAGTAGCTGGATACAAGGTCAACACTCAAAAAAGAATAGCCTTCTTATACACAAATAGCAGACCCATTGAGAGAGAAATTCAGAAAATAATTCCTTTTACAATAGCATCTAAAAAAGTGAAATATCTAGGAATCAACCTAGCAAAGGAAGCAAAAGACCTCTACACTGAAAACTATAGCACTCTGAAGGAGATCAAAGAGGATATAAGAATATGGAAATATATCCCTTGATCCTGTGTGGGAAGAACCAATATAGTGAAAATGGCCATACTTCCAAAACTACTATATAGATTTACTGCAATGCTGATTGAAATTCCAAAAATATACTTCACAGAGCTAGAGAAAAAAATCCAAAAATTCATTTGGAAGCAGAAGTAACCTAGAATAGCAAAAGCAATTCCAGGCAACAGAGACATGGCAGGGAGCATCACAATCCCCAACTTGAAACTATCTACAAAGCTACTGTGGTAAAAACAGCATGGTATTGGCAAAGAAACAGACCCGAAGATCAGTGGAATAGATTGGAAGATGTAGAAACAACTCCAGACATACTCAGCCACCTCATCTTTGATGAAGGAGCTAACCACGCTCATTGGAGGAAAGACAGCCTATTTAATAAATTGTGTTGGAAAAACTGGATTTCAACCTGCCAAAGATTAAAACTAGACCCATACCTATCACCGTGCACTAAACTAAGATCAAAGTGGATTAAAGATCTAAATATTAAGACAGAAACACTAAACTTGCTAGAAGATAAGTTAGGTAGAACTCTTGAAGACACTGGCATAGGAAAAGACTGTATGAACAAATCTTCAATAGCACGGGAGCTAGCACAAAGAATCAACAACTGTGATCTCGTTGTATTAAAAAGCTTCTGCACTGCAAGAGAAACTACCAACAGAGCTAAG